CAGTTCTCCCTGACCTATAAGGTCATTGTGAGTGGGAATCAACTTGATGGCAGACAGTTTGTGTTTGGTATTATTTGTTAGGTAACGAATCAATAGTTCACTGTTTAACAGTCACACAAAGTTGTGGAGCAAATTAATTAGAATGTTCTGCATATAGTGAACAAACATAGAAAAGATTCCAATCTTAACAGATTTGCTAATTAAAATAAGTAAAAAGCACTGAATTCATATAATATGGAAACAATTTATCTGCTCTGCTTCAGATGGAAAAAATACTGAAGAACTTTAAGAGCCCCAGCTGAAGATGTAAGTTGCTATAACTTACTTTACAGATACAGTTTGCTAAGAATATACATTAAGCCAGTGTAATATTAAGGCTATTCTCAACAGGAAATAGTTTCTTTCTGACCCATCCATAGGCTGGGTGGTCTACCTTGTAAACCATGATCGACTCATAGGGATTTAAGAGTATCATGGCTTCTCTTGTTCTAATGCCAAAATATGGGGGCCCTCTACCCTTCAAAAAGCCAAAATCAAACAGTGATTTATTAATTTTATCCAATGAGAATGGAAGATCAGAAAAGTATTTTTTAAATGATATGCTGAGCAATGAAATATGACAGGGAAAAATCAACCATGAACGTGGAACAAATGGAATGTCTAGTTGAATATCACTTTGAAAAAACACAGGTTTTTTAAAAGGTAAACATATAGGAGCTAGCAATTCCACATGTAACTATTTACACCAAGAGAAATGGCACGTCATGTATACAAAACGACTTGGTAGTAATATTCACAGCCTTTTTTAATTATGGCCTGCAGAGTGGAGGGAAATGAGCAACAACAAGCTAAATGTGCATCCATAGGAGAATGAATTTTTTTAAAATGATATAAACAGATAATGGGTGATTACTCAGCAAGAAAAAGAAATACTGATATAAGCATCATGTGTTGCGTGAAAGTAGCCAAGTTAAAATCTATAATCATTTCTGGGGGACACAATGGTTAATATGCAGAGCTAATAGGAAGGTGAAAGGATTCAATCTACCCAGAGAAGATAGCTCAGAAGAAGGTCGGGTAATCTCTGATAAAAAAGTGAGCTGTTAAAATCCTAAGGTACACAGTTCTACTTGACAATGGGAGTTATGCATGTAACAAGGGCAATGAAACATTATGAGAGCCGGATCTCAAAATTTCCAAAGCACATTTTATTTAGCACATTCTTAACATTAAAAACAATCAAACAAACCAACCACTCTAATAGTGAAACCCATTTGCGTTTTCCGTTCTATGACAACTTTCATCTTTACAGATATTTGCTTTCATAAATTTTACGCATATATGTGTACATATATGATTCTACACATGTCATCCAAGACGAAAACTAAGGCTGGATAACAGAAGTGAAAAAGCGATGCTTCTGGACAGAAGGGGTATGGCAACTGACTGAAACAAGCCATCCTAGCTTAATGGGCATATATTATACTTGGCTTTGGGTAGTAGTAACATAAGTATACACAATTGTTTAAAACTAAGAAACAGAAGAATTAAGATTTCGGCAATTCATAGGTGTAAACCTGGCCTCATATTTTTACAAACTAGTTGGCAAAACATTTGTCTGTACATTAAGTATATAAACGAAACATATTTTTCAAAACTTTATAACCCCTTAGGAAAAAACTAACAAACCACAATTTAGAAAAGAAAAACTTGTGAATGATAGAGCAAGGTTAGACATGAGCACATTAAGTAAGTATGCAGTTCTGAAACCTTGATAATTCATCTTTTCCCTTCAGCTCATTCACTTAACTGGCCCTAATTTCAGCTTTCTTATAATAAGTTTCTCAGCATCTCACTTCCACTAGTATTCTAACTTCTTGCACAATAATATTACATTTTTAATGCGGTTACAAAGGTCATTTCCATGCAAAAATGGTTAGGATTTGAAAAAAGTAAAGCCAACAGGGAAAGCACCGTAGAGGAAGATAACCACAGCCATGCTAGAATATGAGAGACAGGAGAGAGTGGAAAATCAGACAAGACTGTGCCTGAAGACTGTGTAAACTGCAAAAGGATGGTGGAAGAGAGGGAAATGAACAATAATTTAAAATACCAAGTCAAGAGACTGCTTTGAGAAGACAAACGGTGATTATAAGACATAATGATACTTTTAAAGTATAAATCACAAATAAATGAAAGTGTTATGATTTCATGCATTTTTGGATGGGGACTAACAAAAACACTAAGAGCCTTAATTTAAGATGGCAAGACACAAGTTGATGTACATATGTAAATATATTTATATATGATGATGTGGAAATAGATCTATGTGCACATATTTATAGGTTTAGTATTAAGGTCGCATATGGGCATTGGGCCTCCACTTAAGTACTCCCTCAATGCAAGAACACTTTGTTCTATTAAACTGGCATTGCATGATGCTCACCACCTTCCCAACACGATTGCTGAAGACAAAGTGGGTGCATAAGCAAATGTGGTGAAGAAAGCTGATGGTGCCCAGCTATCAAAAGATATAGCATTTGGGGTCTTAAAGGCTTGAAGGTAAACAAGCGGCCATCTAGCTCAGAAGCAACAAAGCCCACATGGAAGAAGCACACCAGCCTGTGTGATCATGAGATGTCGAGGGGATCAGGTATCAGGCATCAAAGAACAAAAATCATACCACTGAGAATGAGGGGCAGTACGGAGTGGGGACACAAAGCCCATCTGTAGGTAATTGAATATCCCCTTACAGAAGGGTCATAAGGAAAAGACGAGCCAGTCAGGATGCAGTGTATCAACGATGAAACATACAACTTTCCTCTAGTTCTTGAATGCTTCCTCCCCCAACTATCATGATCCCAATTCTACCTTACAAATCCCGCTATACCAGAGGATGTACACTGGTACAGATAGGAACTGGAAACACAGGGAATCCAGGACAGATGATCCCTTCAAGACCAGTGGTGAGATAGGAGGAAAGGTGGGGTAGAAAGGGGGAACAGATTACAAGGATCCACATATTACCCCCTCCCTGGGTGACAGTCAACAAGAAAGTAGGTGAAGGGCGACATCGAACAGTGTAAGACATGATAAAATAATAATAATTTATAAATTATCAAGGATCCATGAAGGAGGGGGTTAAATGAGGAGCGGATACCAAGGGCTCAAGTAGAAAGCAAATGTTTTAAGAATGATGAAGGCAATAAATGTACAAATGTGCTTGGGGGAAAAAAGATATATTCTATGAAGAGGGCAACAAATGTACAAATGTGCTAGACACAATGGATGTATGTATGGATTGTGATGAGTTGTACGATCCCCCAATAAAATTATTAAAAAAAAAAAAAGACTGCACGACACAAGACAGAAGGAAAAAACCCTCACGCTTAAAATCCGTACATTATATTTCATCTACTATTTAGGGATGCTTTCTGGGCTACTTAAGACCAAGTCAAAAAAAAAAAAAAAAAGACCAAGTCTGCAAACAGAGACTCAGGTGAAATATTTCTACTGGATATTCAACAGGCTGCGTCTTTTCTGAGCTATTATAAGGTTAATGGCTGAAAGTCTGGTAAAAGGTTTTGATCCCAGACATGGAAGGAAAACTTAAAATGTTGCATTTTCAAGAAACTATCTCAAACAAATACCCCGTAAGTGAAAAACTGCCTGTTTAATACAGGGTCTTGTAGACAAATCATGTGTATGGACATTCCATGTATAGGAATGTTATCAATATGAAAAAAAAATTTTAATACCATCTTTTCTAGATTAGTATTTATACCATCTTAGAATTGACTTAAATAACATACCTTTTTAGACAGGCCCATATCTCCCTTCTTGGGCATAAATCCAGGATCTAAATCATTGGACTCAAGAAGTTTCTTAGTTGGTTTTCTCTGACGTTTACTTTCATAATTTCCTGAAACAAATGTATTTTTCTTTAGATGACTTAAAAACAAGCCATTTCCAAATATATAACACGTAAAATGAGTCACAATATTTCTGATGTCTTATCATGTTGTGTGTCATGCAGGATGACTATTTATTTTGAAATATTGGTTAACAAAATAAGCAAAACAAGTGAATAGCTCTTGAAGCAGAGTCAATCTAATGTGAAAATATACTATTTATTTATAATCACACATGAATTCAGGAAGAAATCCAAAAGTGGAAATGCTTTTAAAGCAATTAATTTGTGAAAAGGACAATTACAGGAAGTGAGGTGAAGTAAAGCTGTATTTCTAAGCACAAGCTGACTGAGAAAGTTGTTCTTGCACTGTATCGACATACATAGAAAGACGGTGGCAAAGGATAAGCATTAGGTTGACCACGGAAAGTCTGTTAGTATACAGAGAGAGGATCAGTGGGAGAAAAATCTGCTTATTCCAGACTAGGAAACCCTATGGGGCAGGTTTTCTGTCACAACGGGTTGCTATGAATAGGAATAGGCTAGACAAGATCTATATTAATAAGGATTGCTGTAAGAAGTTATGTAAACGAGCCCCATACCAGTGGTGTGGCGCTGGAAATTATGACTAAAATAGTCATAATATTTACTGTTCTTTCTTACATATTTTTAAGAGAAGGAATATCACAAGCTGTTGTTGGGAATGTAAAAACAAAGTTATACCCCATTTTTAAAGCTAAAGAGGAGCAGGTTTCTTCTTTGGCTGATTGCAATATTAAATAGTCACAAGTTTAATTAAAGACAATATGCTTACATCCTAAGCCTCACCATATAATATACCATATGAAGCAAGATAAAGTGCGAGGTAACTGGTAACGAATTTTGGGTAACATGAACACTTATTAGATGCTTTCTAATCTATCAGGTAAGTTACACCATATATAATTACATTATGATCTAAAACAAGTTCAGGTTACAGACCCCCGTAATTTATGAGTGCCAGTACCTGATGTTCTTGCTGCTTCACGAGTTTGAAGCACCCTGCCCCCAAACCCTGTTCTCCTGGTTGGCTGATCCAAAAACCAGGAAGAGTAACAATGAAGCACAGACAATAACTGTAGAAACTTTGTTTCTTGAGAGTGTGCAACAGATAGATTCATGGTAAATAACTATTTCCAATGTGTTAGCACATTAGATTGGGAGTGGGGATCAGTTCGCCAAAGTGGATGCACTCATTCCTCACAAATCAACGTGATTGTTAGCTTCCAAAGTCAGGGACTTGGTGTGAAAATTGCTTATGCAAAAGTGTAGGGTGGCCACATTATTACACAACTGTCTAATTACATCATCAAACCCTCACTGAGAAAGAGGGGCCACAAAGTTGACACATAATCTTAACCATCACAAGGAAGCATGACTCTCACTTGGCATTTCATATTCATTATTGCTAACTGTATGTCATTAATGCACAAAATACTCAGGTAGTAGAACTTCACTATTGCCGCTGATGCAAAATGATGTCAATGAGCTCATCGATTAAGAAGAACTAGGTCCAGTTTATAATACAGAGACAAATTACTAATGTCTCTAATTTTTTCTTAGCACACGTACATATATGCAGAGGTCCCATTCCCACCTTACCTGATGGTTTAACTACCAATTCCTCAGTCTCAAGAGCAAGTCTTGGCGAGACTCCAGGAGCCATAGGAACAGATAAGGTCAGCTGTGGCAGCTCAGCATGTCCACCTGCAAGCTCTGACTGGGCCACGGGCCCTTCTAAAAATGGAGCCTCCCTTTCAAGAACTGGAGGTTCTTCTTTGGTTGAAATCAAAGAATTCTCATCCACCTGCTTGTTCTGAGTACCAGATCGACATTGAAGGCTTTCCTCTTCAGAGCGGGAACTTACCTGACAATAATAAATGAAAAGGCAATCAACAGACTCAAGTTGTTGTGATTTGGGTGACAAAATATAATACAGCTAAGTGATAAACAGGCAGTCCCCAGGTTATGAAGGAGTCTGGTTTTAAGTCAAATTTGTATGTCAAGTCTAACCCAGAGTGTTGAAACTCTTTACATTAGTCTGGGCATTCCCAACAGTAAAATCAGAACCAATTCAAATTCTAAATATTAGTGTGAAGTAGAATGTTAACCTGAATGGTGACAATTAGAAGTCAAAGCGCAGAAATGGGAGTCATGATAGAGGCAGTGGTGAACCCTTTTAAAGGCCTGATGCTGGTGTTGTTATTATTATTATTGTCTGAATTGTGGAGAGTGAGACACATTCAAAGTAGCATGACAGGCCAGTCTAAAGATAGCACTAGGGCTCTGGCAATCAAAAGAGATCATTGCTATGAAACATGTACACTGCCCTGCTTCTCTAAGAGAGGAATTAAGTTTCTGCCAAGGCATTGACCAGTAATGATTATTCTGGGTATTTACCACTTCACTGGCCAGGAATGAACTAATAAGTACTAGTTCAATGTCCAGGTCCCAACAGATACATATAGTACCTTATCGATTATTCAAATGTATGTCTTAGTATATAATATATATGCATATAAAACACTAAGAAATATTTCTAAATACACAAAAACATTTTAAACAATAACAGAATGCTAATAAAAGCAACTACACATGGCATTGTGCTGAAGAACCTGTATATGTATATAGGCATACATTACTGTAAAAAAGTATTACAGAAAGAATTCTTTAGGCAGTTTAGATAGGATATAAAAAGAAAAAAGATCATGATTAAAGGATAACACTTACTCTTGTTTCACTGCCGTCTTGTGTAATACCGGAAGGGGCATTCGTGAGGTAACCTCCCTCCTCAATAATTTTTTTCAACATTTCGGGAAAATCACTTGCAGCACTTAAATTGTCACTCGCTGCTTCATCTTGCACTTTAATATTATGCAAATTTGCCCTCATTTTGAAACGATTGAACCAACCCCTACTTGCAACAAATTCTTCATTATAATCACCTTCGTTTCCTGCACGGGCAGCTTTTAAATCACTGAAAAGGCTTTGGGCCTTTTCTTGCACTAAAGTAAGGCTAACAGGTTTATCACGCTGATTTTGATCATCTAACCAAATTAGCAATAACTTTTCCATTTCAATCATTAAACCATTGCGTTGTTTAGTAATAATTGTAGCTTTCATCGGGGCAGAGCCTTTCACATGCTCCATTATTCTCACTTTATCCTTTAAAACGTTTCCAATCGTTGACCGACTGCAGCCTAATGCTTTTCCAATGACTGATGGCCGTTCACCTCTCTCCGCTCGCTTTATTATTTCCACTTTATTTTCAATCGTGATCGTTTTCCTTTTCTTTGTTACATCACCAGCAGTTGCATCGGATTTACGCTTTGGAGGCATGGTTATAAGGGTAAATAAGAGGAAAATTTAAGCCAAATACAAAGTTACATACTCAACACAGTGTTAAAGGCAAAGCGATCCGACTTAAGAGTCAGATTGTGTTCTCCGTCAAATTGCTGAAGCCAAGCAATGTTTCCACGAGCATAACGTAGTGCGCTTGTTCGTTATTATGAACCATTGTATTTAACTCAAATTTTTAACACAACATGTTGTACAACAGTCTATTCTTAAGCACTAGCTGTATTTAAGTTAGACATCCTTAACCTGGGAACTTAATACACAAGGAACCGATTTTTTAAAATTTAAGTATATAACAAACAAAAGGTTTCTGTCTACAGTTGCCAACAATGAGCTCCTTTACATTAAAATTGGTAATTAATGGGATAAAAATATGCATTTGTTTTATCTTATATGTATTTGAGAACAATAAAATAATTCAATAAATGAGGATACCCGCTAATAAAAGCAGAAGATATAACGCAAATCTGCAAGTCTTTGTTTAATAACATTTCCTGATGTTAAAACCATCAGGAAATAGCTAATCGGATGTCTTTTTGGAGCCACAGTAATCCCCCACATACTGCTTCCTACTCAAGAGGTAAAATATGGCTTCAAAGAAGAATTTACAACTGAATACTGCCTAACTTCCACTGTCATACAACATGTGATAAAGCATCATTGATAATGTAATCTAGCTAAAGATGTTTAAATTGAACTTATCAAACCATTAGGTCAAACCAATTGACTTAAGAACAAATGTAGGGTATAAAAACACCAAGCTGAGCAATACTCATAACAAAGAAATCACCCAAGTCTATAAAGTAAATGGTCTATGTAAGTATCCACCACTCTCTGCTTAGGCAAAGAGGGTCATGAAAAAGGTGAACTGTTCTAGATTTTAAAAGATTTAAGAGATATAATGGGTTATTACGTGACATTACAAGTAACATTTACTACTTGGTTTTGATTAATCAAGGGTATGGAAAAAGAGGGTACATTTGAATATGGGCTGATATTAGATAAATTGATCTGTGATAATATAAAATTGGTTTATGTTCTATATTTTACAGGTATATAATAAAGTATTTCGGGGTATAATGTTATTTCCAAAAAACTTGATTAGTACTCCTCTTCAAAACAATACTATGGTTTAGTAAATTTAAAAGCAAAGCAACTTGACTATCATAGTAGCATTGATAAAAATATTTGAAAAATAGCTTACAGTGATGGTCTTATAACTTAGTAGCACATTTATTAAAAATCATTTAATTGTATACTTCAAGTGGGTGAATTTTATGACTTACATGTAATTACACCTTGAATAAAATTTTTTAGGTCCCTTATCAAAGCTGAATTATAAACTAAAAATGTTTTATCATTTGTTTCATATCATATATTTCATTTCATTTAATATACTACAACAATATCTTTAAGTTATTAAATATTCATTGAAAGCAAAGGAAAAATCACAAATATGTTGATTCACTTAAATCTTGACTCATTCTTAGAGGCTATGTCTGGGCTAGGAGCTAAGAATAAAAACTAAAAAGGCAATATCCTCAGCTAAGGAAATTAATGCCTGATGAAGATACAAAGTGATGGCAAAACTGCAGTATCTTAAAGGACAAAGAACATCTCCTGAAAAGATGGAACATACCTTAAGTACCTGTTCCTGAACCTTCTTTTGTTTTTTCTTAGGAGCAAATATCTGATCATATTCTTCAGTATATTCTAGAAGCCATTTGCTTGGCTTCCTCAGGCGTTTCTTCTCCGATGGAATAGCTATAAGAAGAATTCAGCATTACTCTATAGCAACACCAACTGTTTCCATGCATGTATTCATCTCTATACTCTCAAAGTTACAGCGGTGGAAAAGTACCTAGCAAAAAAAATTGTGGCATCCACATGGCTCAGAAATTATATGGTATGGCTTCAAATACCAGCCCCCCCCCACAAAATATCATGGAAAATGTGTAATACTAGAGAAAGAAAATTAGATTATTCTAGAAATACACAAACACTACTCAATCTAAAGGGTAAGCTAAACTTAATGTTATACAGTTACTGATAATTGTATAAATAAAACCAATGTATACCTAACGTAAAGAAATAAATTCTGAATCAGGTAATCTGATAAAAGAAACCATGGGTTATTTTAAACATCTTCCTGAATCATTTTAGATAGAATATTTACCTAATGAACACAACTGCATTAATTTCCAAAGTACTTTACAGTTTATCAACTAAGTATATGATTGCAGAATGAATTTCACATAACTGCAAACGTTCTATACAGATTATAAATATAAAATTAATGACATGTACAAATACTATCAATGACATTTAATGTCTTATAGACCAAGAACAAATATTTTAAAATATAGGATTTGAAGTATTTAATGGGTAAGTTTAATGGTGAAATCAACTTAATAATATCATTTTATGACTCATAAAATAATTCTATATTCTGTCCTACTTTTAATACACATAACTTACCATAGTCATTTTACTAGTGCCTGCAGTAGTGCACACAAAAGGCACGGAGCATTCTATGGTCTGACTGAGGAAGAAGGTGCTCCTGGTTTGTGTGGTGCCAAAACTGATGCTCTCTACCAAAATGAGAGAGTACGGAATGCTGAAGTAGGGACCAAATAGAAAATATGTAACAATACTTCTCTAGAACTCAAGGGGAGAATACATCTGGTTCTATGCTCCTAATTGGACAATTTTAACCTGGTTTCTAACCAGCCCTTGGTGAACTAGGATATGTGCTAATTTCCACTGAGACTAAAGCAGTTCCTTTCAAGACTCTCAAGAACCTTCGCAGTCCACACAGAAGGAGTCAAAGTAGAAACACCATTAAGTGAACTGGGCTTTACCTCAAACACACCTGGTATTGCTTATCGATGAGACATCCTCATGTGACAAGAAGTGGATGACTGTCCTCCCAAGGTTATGGAATTGACAGTCGGACTTTGACCATACCCAAAGATTGGTGGTCTGGGACTACAGTACAATATAGTTACAGTTGCAGTGTTAGGTTGCTAGCCATAAGGTCATTTGCTTGAAACCACCAGCCATTCCAACCAAACCACCAAAAAGGAGTAACACACTTAGCATACCTTAAACTGAAAGAACTCAACAAAAAAGTCAAGCCTCCAGTTGTAATGTTGAAATTTTTCTATAGGAAAATGATGCAGGAAGCATCAAAAAAAGATGGAAAGGAAACATAGTCACAATAGCAAAAAGAACTGGTCCACATTCCACCATTTCAGGAATTAGTATAGAAGCAAAAATCAAAGGTACTAAAGGAAGACGTTCAAGCTGCACTGGAAAAATTAGACGGGGCGCAAAAGTTGCAAACACTGAAGGAATAACAATCAGAATGTTGCAACAAGGCTGATAAAGCAATCTAGAGTTGGAGGACAGCTACTTGGACAACTAAATGGAACAGATCCAAATTAGTACCAATCTCATAGAAAGTTAACTCAACAGAATGCGCAAGTTACAGAATAGTATCATTAAGATCACATTTGAGTAAAATTTCACTGAAAATCACCCAACAATGGTTGTAGCAGAATACTGAAGGGGAGCTTGGAAAAACTGAGGCCAATAGGTTAACATAATGATAAATGGTGAAAAAATTGAAGTTGTCAAGGATTTTTGTCTTACTTGGATCCTAAATCACTATTAATGGAAGCAGCCATCAAGAGATCAAAAGGAGAGTTACATTGGGCAAACCTGCTGTACAAGACTGCACGAGAGTGTTGAAAAGCAAGGGAGATTACTTTGACTAAGGTAAGCCTGGCCCAAGCCATGGTTATTTTTAACTCCCTTAAAAAGCATGTGACACTAAATATGATAGACTGACAACAAACCAATGGGTCTGAATTGTGCTGCTGACAAAGAGAAATGTAATAATCTTCACAGACATACATGATTTCCTCTCCCTTATCTTGACTTAAATTTCCATTAGGTTTTGCTTATCACTTTTATTAGAGTACCTGTTATTTTGGGATGACTTTAGCACAATATTGTGGCCGTCTTCTTCCCCCATCTTGAAAAACTGATTTTGGTTGAAGTGGGGTCTCCTCTGTTACAGTGGTTTTAAAGATGTATATATCTAGGGAGCGGTAAATGGTTGCTGGGTGCTAGGCAGGCTCTCTCTGCCTTGTATCTATGTACTAGAGTTGCTTATTGGGAGACCAGATTAGAAGATTACGTGACATGGGAGCAGAAGCCTGCCTTCATTCTTAGTGTTTATCCTTATAGTCTTGCACTCATACAACATTTGTCCTTTTGTGATTGACTAACTTAACTCAGAATATTGATTTCCAGCTCCCTAAAAAACAATGAAACCATGAAATACCTTGTTACATGGTGGGAGCCAGTAGTTTCGAATTGTTGACCTTATAGGTAGACATCCACCAGGGCTCCTCAAGTAACCTAGAAATGCCCCAGATTATCTCAAGCAGTTATTTCAAAAGTAACTAAAACAAAAAAGTAATCATTTCCTTTTCACATTCTGCACACACAAAAAATAAATAACAAGTCCAAACACATCTAGGTCAATGAATAGTAACTGCTTTCTGCTCTCAGGCAATAAGATCAATGAAGTATATGCTGTGTAAGATAATGTTCATAATGTAGCATTCATGAATCTAATTCTCACTTTAAATTGCCAGTTATGTTTCCAATTGCTAATCAAAAGGTTGGAATTCATATCCACCCAGTGACTCCGTAAGATAAAGACCCAATGACCTGAAACAATTCCCTTGAATAAGCCCAAACCCAATGTCAAGTGGATTCTGCCTCATGTCAATCCTAATCACTGTCTCTGTGCTTGAGCCAGCTGTTGCACCATTAGCTCTATCTACCTCATTGAGGCTCTCCCTTTCCTCATCTCATGGTGTCCTTTTCCAGCTTCTGGTCTGTCCAGCAACATATACAAAGCACATGGGATGAAATCTCATCATCCTCACTTCTAAGCAGCACTCTGGCTATCGAGCCCTCCCAAAACAAATTTGTTAGTTCTTCTGACAATCCACGGTACAATCAGCATTCCTCAACATCTCCAAAATTAGATTCTATCCGATCGTCTCTAGTATTCTTTATTCAAAGTTCTGCTTCCACGGGCATGGTAGGAAACTGAAAATACCAAGCCTTGGTTAGGTCAGCTGCCCTTTAGTCCACAGGTGCTTTATCTGCTCTTTAACACTTTAAAGAGGTCTTGTGCAGAAGACTGGCTTAATGTAATCAGACATTTGATTTCTTTTTTTTACTAATAATCTTTTATTCAATAAAAACTGAGTGGTGTGAGTGGCAAAACAGGGAGGGTAAAGGGAGAATGTGTAGGAAAGAGGGAACCGATTACATGGAACTGTGTGTGACCTCCTCCCTGGGGGACAGACAACCGAAAAGTGGATGAAGGGAGACGTCGGACAGGGCAAGATATGACAAAATACCCATTTATAAACTATCAAGGGCTCATGCGGGAGGGGGGAGCGGGGAGGGAGGGGAAAAATGAGGACCTAATGTCGGGGGTTTAAATGGAGAGAAAATGTTTTGAGAAACAATGTACACATGCGCTTTACACAATTGATGTGTGTATGGATTGGGAAACAGTTATATGAGCCCCTAATAAAATGTTAAAAACAAAAACAAAAAACTGAGTCATGTGCAAATATGTGTGTGATACAAAGATGAGTAAGATTCTGACATTAGGAACTTGTAATATACATATAGAAACAAGATCTTGGTAAAACAAAAAAACCCTGTATTTCCAGGTAGAAAGCGATAAGGACCTTACTAGGTTACTGTAGATAGATGATAGATAGGTAGATACATACATAGCTAGATAAGAAGACAAAGAGATTACTTCTAAGTTTAAGATCTAGAAATCTGTTACAAGGTTTGTGTTTCTGTTGGAAGGAGAGATGTTGATAAAAAGTTCATGGTCCCCAGTCGACATCTGATTTCTTGACTGATACTTCCACGAACGTTGATTGTGGATCCAAGTAAAATGAAATCCTTGAGAACTTCAGTATTTTCTATTTATGAATGGCATTTTCTCTGCTGGTCCTCTTGTGATGAAATTTTGTTTTCATTACAAGAAAGTTGTGTGTTCGGTACCCATACTGAAGGCTGTATTCTTCCATCTTCATTTCACAGGTTGTTAATAAGCCTTCCTCCCATCATGATGTTGGGATCTTCTTGTAGTGCAGATTCTTGGTTTACGTGCTTAGCATACAGTTTGAATAACTATGTTGAAATGATACAACTGTGACATTACATCTTTCCTAATTATAAACCACAGTATGCCTTTATTGTGTTTGAACAACTGCTATCTTGGTTTATGTAAAGTTTCCGCAAGCGAATAATTAAGAATTCTGAAATTCTCATTCTTTGCAATGTGCAATGCAGTGAATTACCTATATAGCTCTTTTAGGCTTAGTCTTTGTTATTCCCATCAAATATCCTTCCCTTTTCCTGATGAGTCTGGGTAAAAGGTAGGGAAGGATACTAATTGGATTATATGATTCAACTGTGGGTGACTGCTGTCCCACTCAGTATAAAATAAGTCATCTCAGAAGCAGGAAGGAGGGGATTTCACTACCAGCAAAAGAGAAGAGGTAAGACAATGTCTTTTGAATCATGAGATCCCTGAACACTCAACCTCCCCGAATCAGGAGACAACGTTGACACCAGAAGACCGTAACAGAACTAGGTTTTTCCCAGTCCACAGAGCAAAAGCCCAGAGAATAAGTAAAGCTTTTGGAAGT